CGTCATGTGAAAGAGGAGAGAGCGCGTGGACGGGCGGTTTGTTGGGTTGCGGTCTCCTCTGCTTCATTGGGAGTCACAGCCATGCGCAGAGGAGAGAGAAACAAAACCCAGCCCTAGAGAGAGAGAGAGAGAAGGAATCTCAGAGGTAGAGTTTATAGAGGGAGAAAAGRGCCAAAAGTTCTGAAATTTAAGAGAGAGAAACAGTAGAAACAGAGGAGAGAGAGAGAGGAATTTGTTTCCATTGTAGCAGAAGAAGCTCTGAAACTGACTCTCAGCAAAAGGTTTAAGACCGTGTTTGGCAATGGCAGCCGTTTTACTTTAATACGTTTTACATTTGTAATTTCCCTTTTTTTTCTTTTTCCATTTTAGTCGCTTAACTTTTGAAATATTATTTTATTATTTGAATGGCTATATGAACTCTACCAAATATCAATTATTTTGGTCCCTAATTTTTTAAATAACTATTTTTGGTCCCTAATTTTTTAAATAACTATTTTGAATCTGGATATATATTTTTTTAGTACAATATATGAAGTGGGATATTCATTTAGCTATGTTATGTTCCGATTGGTTGCTATGTACATTTATTTTGCTTTTTAACAAATTAATAACGTGTACACGTATTCAAATAAATATAGGTTTGGAGTGAATATTGGGTAAGTAAGTGTTARCTCATAAAATAACGTGGCAATGACCAAAATAATCCTTTAGTTTTAAAATTAAGCGACAAAAATAACTATTAGACGTGTTCAAAAAAATCTGACAATCTGATGAACTCAATCCAAGCTGTAAGGGTTGGGTTAGGTTAGATGAAGYCTCGGGTTTAGTTGGATTGTGATTTTCCCAATCTGATCGAGTTGGGTTGGGTCTCGGGTTCAACCTTTAAAAAATCGAGTCAACCCAACCCAACCCGATATGTGTGTGTATATATATCTTTATCTTCAATTACTTGTCCATTTAGTTTTAATTATAGTCTTYCACTTAAGATTTTCATATTATTTTCTTCTATTTTATATCTTAAACTCAGTCGTCTATAGTTTTAATCATAACTCTATTGTCATCGTGATAATTAAAAATTGAAAAAAATACAATTTGATAACTCAACCCGACCCAACCCAAAGATATTGAGTTGGGTTGACCATTCAATTCAAACCTGACGGTTCCTATATATGGCCAACCCGAAAATTTGCATGGGTCTCAAAACCCTTCTTAATCCGACCCAATCCTAAATACCCCTAATAACTATTTTAAAAGTTTTAGGATCAAAATACAATCAATTTTGAAAGTTAGTAATTAAAATAGGATTTAAACATTTTCTTTCTTTCTTTTTTCAAAGTTTCAATTATAGGAAAACAAAGTCTTGATACAAAGGAATGAATTTTATGTAAATAATCATGGAGATAGTGAGGTTTTTTTTTTTCCATTCTCAAGAAAATGATCAGATGAGATTTTATTTTCATAATCTATAATTTTTTTATTAATGAATTTAGTTTTATTCCAGTTCTGCCAACCATTAAAATTGCTTAACTTTGCATCAAAATCAATGTATCCATTTTCAACTAAATTTAGATCCATCTCTACTAATTTTCATGTTAAACAAATAATTGTGACACTTTCTACTAATTATAAGATTTTGTCGGCATAAATATAAATTTGAATTTGTATACTTTGAAGCGGTGAAAGTATAATTTTTAAGCTACAAATTATTTGATTTACAGATCCTAAATTCACTCCGAAAATATTTCAGCAAATTTTTATAACTTTTTTTGCGTAATATAAATACAAGTTATAMAAATTCAAAATTTCTGGTTGATACCAAATAAATTTAAACTTATTAAAAGAATCAATAAAAAAAAAAATTTAAGTTTAAGATTTTAACCCGTTATTCTATTATATATGTGATTGCRATTGCAAGATGCTCGCTCTCAACAAATACCTATCTTGATTCATATAAGGTACCATCAAACAGATTTTCTCTTTTTTTTTTTAAAGTTCAATAGAATTTAGGGGTGAATTTTCAAACATCTGAGTATTTAGTAAATGATATATGTCAATAACAGCCATTGTTTCTTACATTTTGAGTGAGTAATCTTTGTTACCGTGGAAAAGTTGACAAAAAAAAAATTTAGATTTTTTAAATCCTTGGGATTTGACAATGACATTTTTATAATATTTTGAGTTTATCATATTTCTTTTTTTACTATAGCATTTGGGAGAGAGATTCGAACTCACGACATTTTTTTTCGATGATAGATGTTTTAATATTCTTCAYTTTTTTTAGTACAACAATTTAAAATGAGAATTCGAACTCACAATCTTTTGGTCGAATAAATTTACTCTATTGTAGTAAAAGAATCTTTATTAGTGTTGGTATTAACTTCTCCTCCTCTGACAAGAACAAAAAATTAATAATAATAAAAATAAAAAATAAAGACTTTTGTTGAGAAAATAAAGGAAAAAAAAACCACGTGGGCTGAATTTATGTTTTTCTTTTTCTCGTTAAGTATATGCCTTAAAAAAGTTTTTAAAAAATAAAAAATAATAAAATAGACTTGCCAGGTAGGCTATGGCATGCGTTAGAAGAAAATGCAGCTCCCTTGTATTTAAATTCAATGCTCAATATTAATACAATTATATTCTTCCAAATTACAATTAAGATTCTTCTAATAAATACCCCAAATATGAGTTATTTCTTCCTTTTTTTTATTTGTCTTTTGAAACTTCCCAAATATGAGTTTTTTTTTAGGCTAGAAGTGTATTAGATTAGAAAATAGGAGTTTTAATGTTTAATTTGAACATAGTTTAATGGTTAAGTCATAAATCTCATCGAGAGTTTAAATGTCCATCCCCATACATTGTTGTACTAAAAATAATTTAATGTATATTGTCTTTTATTGACAATCTATTTATTCTTTTAACTTTTTAAATTAATAGAGAGGTGTAGAGATTGAAATATCTAACATCTTAATTGATAATATATATTTTAATTAATTGAGTTAGATTCATGTCCGCACAATCTATCTATTGAGCTGCCAATAAAGTTTTTAAGTTAAATTATTAATTTTGTTTTAAGATTTAAAATTTTTGGTTAAAATACTAGTTTGATCTCTCTRCCTTCAGCCTTGGTTCATTTTGGTCATCGTACTTTGAAAGTGTTCATTTTGGTCCCTATACTTTAAACTTCAGTTCAGTTTAGTCCTTGTATTTTGAAAATGTTCATTTTAGTCCTTATACTTTTAAAAAGTGATCATTTTAGTCCATATTTATAAAATTTTAACACATATTTTACGCATAACGACAACTCTTTAGTATAAAGTAATGTTTACATTTGAAGAAATATATTGATTTTAATGCCGTGATTAAATTGTGATATAAAAATGATATTAAGAAGAAAATTAAAGGGCTAAGATGGTCACTTTTTAAAAGTAGAGAGGTCAAAATATACATTTTAAAAGTACGGAGACTAAAATAAATCAAATTTTAAGATATATAGACCAAAACGAACATTTTCAAAATACGAAAACGAAAATAAATCAAAAT